TAGTAAGTTTCCATTATATAATGACAATTCTAAGAATTTCATTTGCTAATGAATGATATAATCTAGATAAACTGAGGACAAGCATAGCATGCTTGCTGAAATGAAAATAATAGATCATACATCAGCCTCATTATCCATCCTCCTTATCCCTCCTTGTCCTACAAAGCACTGAGAGGAAGGCTTACATCTAATACAGACAATAAAGTATTTCACTTGTTTTAACTACAAAATGTAAGAAAAATTTATTTTATATATTCCAATCCAATTATAATTTAACCAAGAGATGTGTTCAGATGTCACATTTTATCATCCGAAACTTTATTACTAAGACTAGGAGTGACATGGGAGAGTCAAGATGTAGGAAAGGTGATTTAATATATAAAATTAGCTGTGAATGTTAACTAAAATACAGATGTGGCTAATTAAAATTACCTTATGAATCTGAACTTCTACTTCCCCTTTATGTATGAAACTCAACAATGATGTTTTTGAATGAGGGAACTAAAAACCCTCAATAAGCCTTTAAGGCCAGGTTTCTCTTGTATCTGCATGAAGCCTCAAAATATTTAAAACCCCTGATAAATGTTCCAAAGCCATCTTCACAAGCATGGCTCTTTATTCCCAGTGAGGGCCTGACCATGGGTCTCCAGGGAGCATTAATGATACGGTGCTAGCAGTCGGTGCCAATGGACCTCCTCTGCAAGGCGCCTCACGTCTCCAGGAGGAGGAAGAGGTTAGGGAGTAGAGGGGGTGAGAGCACACAGGAACAAGCAGGTGAGAGCAAGGAGACCGAGAGAAGGAGCAGTGCGGGAGGATAAAGGCAGGCCAGAAGCCGAACACTGTCACTTCTCTCAGCGAGCTGGAGTGTCACTCACCTGGTGAGTGCTGCTAGAGCCAGGCATCCAGGTGAGGGAAAGAGGGGCCTTTCCTCATCCTCCACACCACAGCCTATGCCATTCCACCACCCAAATTATGTAGGCGGGAATAAAACAGAACAAAACACACAGGTGACTCTGTCAAAAGACACTTCATGCTTGGAGGCTATCTATCAACACACTCCGATTTACTAATTACTTCTTAAATCAAATTCATGCCTATTGACTGAAAGTACATGTCTGTTCATTAAAATGTTGGCAAATTGACTCTTCTTTTATAAAGGAACTATCTTAGAGAATATAAAAACATAGCCAAAAATACTTTTTAAAAAACCTAACTAAAAAAACCTTCCTAGGTGTGTTTAAATTATTTTAAATGCTTAGGAAAACAGGAACTCGGATAATACAGAAACGAAACACATGTAGACAGAGGTCCTCCATAACCACAATTCAAATATCTGAGGTAGGTGTCACAGTGTCTAAAGCATTTACCCTTTTCTAATCCTCACAATAGCCTTATGAAGTAGGAAAGTAGGAAAGATATCATTTTATTTGAAGCTAAAGAAACAGGTCCACAGAACTAAGTAATTTTTGAATAAAGTTTCAAGCTAGTAAAGGTAGAATAAAAACTAGAATTTAGGTTTTTAGGCTTTTCAATAAGTGCTACTTCCAATCTTCCACTTTGAAAACTAGTGTAAAAGGCACTTGAAAACCTAGGACTTTGTATTTCTTTCTAAATCATGCTCTAATTGCCATATAATTACCTACATATTGTAAATATTCTTAGGTTTATGTCTTGACTATGTAAGAAGAGTAAATACTAGGTGTACCGGTTAATGTTGCAGGATCGAGCCTGCAACATATGTTGATATACTTACTATATGCGATTTGATATGTATGCTATTTTGTTGTATTGACAACAAGCTTCAAAACTTCATATGTCGAATTTGCTGAAGGTGTTTACATCATAGATATTTTTACACTTAAAAATGTCCAACTTCGTGTCAAAAATGAGCATTTGCGGGAAGTTATAATTCATTACTTTATTTAGAAGAAAAGTGCTGCTGAATATTTCCGGGAGCTTATGGTGAACATGCTTCATCTCGAGATACTTATGAACGCTGGTTGAAACGCTTTAAAAGTGATGATTTTGATGTGAAAGACAAAGAGCATCCAGGTCAACCAAAAAAGTTTGAAGACCAACAATTATAAGCATTATTGGATGAAGATGCGTGTCAAACTCAAAAACAACTTGCAGAAAGATTAAA